GCTGAACTGAAGTCTATAAACAGCATTCTGGCGTAGGTGTTGTTGTTGTCCAGGTGTGAGAGGACAGAGTGCAGTGCAATGGAGACTACATCCTCTGTGCTCCTGTTCTGGCGGTATGCGAATTGGTGGGGGTCCAGGGTGGGGGGGGAGACAGGATTTGAAGTGTGCTAGGACCAGCTGCTCTAAGCACTTAGTGATGATGGGGGTGAGGGCTACTGGGCGGTAGTCATTGAGGCAAGATGGGTTGGAGTTTTTGGGTATCGGGATGATGGAGGTGGATCTGAAGCAGGCCGGTACCACAGCGTGGGCCAAGGACAAGTTGAATATGTCTGTCAGCACTCCTGCAAGCTCCCCAGAACACGCTCTGAGAACACACCCGGGGATGCCATCAGGACCTGCAGCCTTGTGGACATTGATCCTGCTCAGCACCGCTCCTACATCGGTGGGGAAGAGAGTCAGAGGTTGGTGGTCTGGCGTCACATCTGCTTTGGTTGTGGTTGTGGGGTTCCCTCGCTCAAAACGAGCATAAAAGTTGTTGAGCTCGTTGAGGAAGGAGACATCAGAGGATGCGGGGGAGGGTTTGGTTGTCCTGTAGTCTGTGATGGTCTGGAGTCCTTGCCACATGCGTCGGGGGTTGGAGTTGGAGAAGTGTTCTTCTACCTTCTTTTTGTAATGGTGTTTGGCTTTTTTGATGCCCTTCTTTAGATTAGCCCTGGCTGTACTGTAGGCGTGTGAATCTCCTGACCTAAAGGAGGTGTTGCGGGCCTTCAGGAGGAGACGAACATCCCGGTTCATCCAAGGCTTCTGGTTGGGGTACATGGTGATCCGTTTCTGGGTGGTGACACTGTCTGTGGTTTTGGAGATGTAATCCAGTACAGATGAGGCTCTCTGGCCACACTTTAATTGTCCTCACAGCAGGTTTCACACGTTGGATGAGTGGTGAATACCTAGGTGTGAGGAACAGGGAGAGATGGTCCGATTGTCCAATGTGGGGGAGGGGTGTGGCTTTGTAGGCTCCAGCCAGGTTGGAATAAACATGGTCTAAAATATTGTCTCCTCTGGTGTGGCAGGAGACATGTTGGTGGAATCTGGGGAGGACTGTCTTTAAGTTGGTGTGGTTGAAGTCGCCAGCAACAGTAATAGCAGCCTCGGGGTGTTTATTCTGGTGTTTGTTAATGGCTGCAGAAAGTTCTTTCATGGTCAACCTAGCATTAGCGTCGGGGGGTATATACACGGCAGTGAGTATGATCGAAGTGAGTTCTCTGGGGAGATAATAAGGTCTGCATTTGACCATTAAAAACTCCGCATTAGGTGAGCAGTGACTCTCAGTAGTAGTGGAGTTCATGCACCAAGCATTGTTAATATAAATGCACAAACCTCCACCTCTGGTCTTGCCGGAGTCATCTGCTAGCCTGTCGGCTCGGTGTGTGTGGCGTCCTGCTAACTCGATAACATTGTCTGGGCAGCTGTTGTTCAACCATGTTTCGGTGAAAAACATGACATTTGAGTCCATAATCCGTCTGTTGTTAGTGATGGAGAGCCGTATCTCATCCATTTTGTTTGCCAGAGAACGGACATTGGCGAGGAAAATACTGGGTAAAGGCAGCCGGTGTGGTGTTAGCTTTAGCTTAGCCCGTAGCCCTCCGCGCCTACCTCGCCTTTGTTTACGATCTCGGCGCCGTCTGCGTGCACTTCCGCCCGGCCGGGGAGAGTGGGCAGCCTCCAGTGTTCTGGAGATCTCTGGGATGAGTCGGAGATCGGCGATAAAACTGTTGGAGTTATGAGTCCAGATGTCCAGAAGCCCTTGTCTGCTGTAGGTCAGCAACGCACAGCAATTATTTATATTTGTCACACTTTCACGTTTCAGATGAAACAAATTCATCAAGTCTCGTCTCACATTTACCCAAATACATCTTTGATGATCCCCAAGACATTTTGGGAAAAGTTATCTTGCAGAAAAAAGCAGAAAACCCGAATTTGGATGATTCTGAGTCCTATTACGTCTGCATAAACCTAAGCATTTCATGAAAAGAACATCATACCAACGGTCAAACATTACTCACCACGATTGAACATCTGGCCTTAGAGAAGGAAATTGCAGAAGCCTTACCCGACCCTGTTATGAGAAATTACTTGACTTTGATATTCAGGATGTCCTCCATGTGTTTTGAGAAGAAGGTCCTTACGGGTTTTTTGACATTCTGCTTTTAAGAAAATATACGGTGTTATTTAAGCTATATAATTTTAAGTTTTATTTTTTAAAGCTTCTGAAACTGTATGCTGAGTGATCGTGCCGTTTGAGTCTTATGTACTGGAACAAAAATAGAACGATAGGCTTAAAGTTCAAATTTATTTCACAAATAAGTATGGACCACATTCATTTGAATAAAAATTAAGCAATTTAATAAAACTGAATTACAGAATAAAGTTGTGTCAAGGACTTAAGGAAACACACAGACTTCCAATGCTTCCACAGACCAAATCCTGCTTCACATTGCAGGCCTCTGACTAAATGCCGAATTCAAATCCCATTTTTGCAAAGCGTTAACATGACAGTAACACCAACCAGCTTAGAAGAAATGTTGAACTTTTCCTTTAACATCTATAATTTTGTTTTTTCTGTCTCAATGACAAATATTGCTGGCTCTGCAGACATTTTTGGCAGCATGTTGGTCTCCTTTACTTTCTGATGACAACCTGTGGCCAAACAATCAGAGGAAAAAGGGAAAACAGAGAAGCTAACTAACTTTGGTGAAACCTATCCCAAAAAGATGATGGTGACATGAATAGTCTGCGGCCAAGAAGTGGACAAAGGTGATGAAATGGAAGCCATATTGGCAGAAAACGGTCCCATGAGGTTTATATTTTTGGCAGCTAAAGCAGAAACAATAAAGTTGATAAGGAACTTGGATGGGCGAACTAAATCCTGTCAACTCCGAGTATATCCAGCTTCAGGTGCAGCAGTAGGGGAGGACACAAAAAGGAACTCTGTGTTTGGTAAGGTCTGACAATTTAAGTTTGTTTAGAAAAAAACTGAGTTTTCCTCATGTCTGGGTTACTAAAGCCAGTTTTCTTGAATAGGGCCCTGCTCTACATGGATGTCACAGGCTAAGCCAAAGATGCAGCGATTACTCAAGACACTGAAGTAGCTCTGCAGACATTTTTGGCAGACATTTTTGGTGGACCTATCAGAATGGGTTAAAGGATTACAATTGATCTTTCTTTTTGTTCTTTTTTCTTTTTTTGAGAAACTACTCCACTTCGAATCTAGTAGGGATATCTAATATCACGGTCTCCATGTGGCCGGGATATTAGAGAAAACTTTGTCACAAATGTCAAACATTGAAAACACTGACCTTTAATTAGCAGGAAAATCACTCAGTGGGTTAACATGAATTGGAAATCATTGAGATGAGTCTGAATTAAAGTCTATTAAAAGCCTGGAAAGACAGGTTTTCAGATTTTAACCAAATGTAGACACTAAATGGAGGATCATAAGTGATCACTACAAAAACCATGAGAGAAATACAAAAAGAATACTTCCCATTTCTATTTCAGGAACAAACATTTTACAATCTTGGCACGATTTCTTAAAATTCTGCATCTAAAAGGTCTAAAAACAAATCAGATTTGTTCTCAACATTTTATAAAGTACTATCTGCATATACAATACTACTCTATTTGTATAGCACATTTCTGAGGCTGGCAGTGCTTCAGGTAATCTCAACATTTCTTCTTCCTGTGACATATGACTCGTATTATTTTCACACTCAGTGACTCCTCATGCCCAGCCAATGAGGGCAATGTCACTACCACAAAGCAGGGGTTTTATCTGTCCTAATTTACTAAGAGTAAAAAGCCAACATTTCTAACCTGTTTTGTTAACTGGGGACTTATTTACTTGAGCATCGTAGACAGTTTTGTCCATCAAATGGTCCAAAATAAAAGGTAAATGCGTAGTTTTCTGTCAACTAAGGTTTCTCAGAATCGTTGCCTTTGCTGTAGGTGATCAGTGGTCATTCAACTGCATGAAGTTTAACAGAGCCACAAGATTGTCTCACTGTAAGGGGTCTAGGGTTCAGGTTAATTTGTCTCCCACGCCTCAGCTTCTGCCACTTTAGCAGGAACTTCTCTTTCTCTCTCACCCTCTTCTCTTCTATTCTCTCCATGCTTCATTTCAGGTGTGCCAACTCGCCCACCCCTGCTGCAGCTTATATGCTGTTTCTCAGCTCCGCCCCAGCACCAGATAAACAGCTTTTTCTATTTTCTCCTACTCACCTAAACTCTTCCGATTAGCCCCGACTCCTGCCTCCAAACGCTCTGTCACACTAATTCCCCACTGTTCTACCACGTCAGTTTCTGAAACTAGGGTGTAATTTTAAGCACCTAAAAAGACTTACAGGTGCACAATAAAACTGAAGGTCTTAAATTGTAAATAAACCTTTCACAGGAGAGTACAAATGCCTTATTACCACTTTTGCAACAGGCTAAACATTCGCTCATCCCTCTTGAAATACCCTGAAAGCAGTCATTAATTCCAGATAGTTTGTGCATATATGCATGTTAGTTTTTGGTTTTTCACTGATACCAGCTGATACCTTTTGAGAGAAATTGGTATGAAAACGGTCACAAATGTGCAAAATGTGTTCAGAATTTTGAGTGCTCACAAATGCCTGCTCCGCTCCACGCACAAAAACAGATCACTGAACACTGTTTTACACATTTTTGCATTAAAACCTGGATAATTAGAAGTGTTTTTAAAGTGACAGCATCACAGACCTGATCGTTTTTTGCCTCAAAAAGCTTCCTGTGCTGTGCCAGCGTCAAAAACACATAATACACATCTAAATGAGTGGAGACTAACTGAACTTTTGCAGTCCTGTTTGGGTCTGCTGTGTACTGAATCGGGATTTAAGCTCAATCCTGACTCTGCAGGATGTTAATTTTTAAATTAAGTCATTATGAATATACACTCCAAAAAAACAGAAACTTTTTTTAAACAGTACCACTTAAAAGTATAGCAATTAAGTAAATTCCATTAAATGTAATGTTTCACTTGTAATGTTGTTTTACTTGTGTAGCACAGTTACATGGAAAAAAATTACTTAAAGTCAGCATAGCCCTTTGTGTAGATGCCCCAACACAGATTGTATAAAACACCTTTAAAATGCTACTTTAGTGCATTGATCATAGTAATAATAAATGCGAATGTGAATAAATGACTATTGGCCTTCTATACGAGCCAGCAATAAAGGACTACAAGTTTCAAATATTCTTTTGCACTATCAGAACATTGCAGGAATATGCGATATGATGATTAACAGCCTTCCCTTACTCGATTAATTTGCAACACCGCTTTATAAATGCATTATGTCAAAACGGGAGAGCAAAAGATGTACCCCAAGTCTCACAGTCACTGATTCCTTTATGTAAAAGGGAGGCAACAAAGTTATAAAGTCAGGAAATCCCCATGAGATGACTAAAAGCCTCGGTGCTTTTCAACGTGCTCCTACAGGGAAGTCACGGCTGATTTTTACCATATAAATCCCATCAATCTTTTTCGCCGCCTCTCTTACCGGAGTTGATGAGGATCCAGCAGCAGCAGAGCGGCGTCAGGTCTCGTTTGCGCCCCATTTGAAGCGCTACAAAGGGATCCCACCGGCGTTCACACGAAGCTCAGCTTCACTCCGAGGTTCCCAGTGCTCATCTTCACTGTCACACTCCTCTCCACACAGCTGCATGGATCCCAGTCACAGCCTCCCAGTGCACATCACCGCTGAGGTATCAAGCTCCCATTGGACTTGATTAATCGGTCTTAC